AAAAATATTGTACAGTACTGAATAGATTTATATTAAAGAAGTTTACATATTAAATATGTAAACCCAGACAATATGTTGTTTACTAAGCTTTAAAGACTGTAATTTTTAGAAATCAATAAAACTTACTAAAAGAAAAAAGAAAAAAGAAAATCAGATATGCAAAGTAGCTTAGTGGCTCCTCCTCCAGTCTTTCATGTCTTACCCTTCACTTCCTGGCAGGCAATAGCATGTGAGTTTTCCCCTGCAACCCAAAATAGATTTCCATTAGTAAATCCAACTGAGGCATAGGGTGAAATCCTTATTGGCATTCTCTGACCTCAAAGCAATCCAGCTGATGCCGTTGGGGGCAGATGAAAGGAGGAACGGTAAGCAACACAGAATTTTCAGGTTTCATTAAAAGTTCAGGGACCTCACTTGACTTCCTTCCCTTAGGACCCTTCCTTCTAGTTCTGTGATCAGAGTGCTCGAGTTAGGAAGGAAATTTAATAATCAGCTTCAGAGTGGCTGTTTCACTCATGTTAAACCTTTATTTACCCAGACATAAAACAGCCTGGATTACATTCTTTCTTTGCTAGCTTGACCCAAATTACTGGCTCATATGGAACAGGAATATGAATATAAATATGAATATGAGCCGAGGTGGTGCAGCAGTTAGAGTGCAGTACTGCAGGCCACTTTAGCTGACTGTGTTCAGCAGGTCAGCGGTTCAAATCTCACCGGCTCAAGGTTGACTCAGCCTTCCATCCTTCCGGGGTAGGTAAATGAGGACCCAGATTGTTGGGGGCAATGTAAATATATATATATATATATATATATATATATATATATATATATATATATATATATATATATACACACACATTGCTTACTGGTGTACACCGCTTAGAGAGTGCTTGCACTTAAAGCGGTATATAAGTCTCGTAAATAAACAAACAAACAAACAAACAAACAGATAATGTCTGCATGCTACTCTTTGTTTTGCCTTACAAGTTATGCGTTTTTTCCCTTTTGATTGTTCTCTTATTATTTCAAGAGGATTGCTGGGGTTCAGCAAGAAAGAATTATGAAAATCCAATTAAATAAGGAAGAAAAAATAATACCTTTCACAAATAAGATCAACAACATTAACTATTAACTAAGTGAGAGAGATGCATGTCAGGGTGTAGGGGAAGACCATTTCATTTATCAGGCAATATATGATTATTTTCCAGGCTTATCTGAAAACATTTTTCCTGAATAAAATTTTCGGCTGTTAAATCTCAAAATTCACATTTCATGCTTTTTCCAACCCATCTTAAGGGCTACGAGAGTCTAGCTTTTTGCCTTAACTATCTATTTTGGATTATAGGGAGACCTTGTAGAAAGGGTACATTATTCTGGCATTTTTTAAAAAATATAAATTTTTCCGGCTCATATCTCTTTTCACTCATTATTTTGTTACCAAGCCATGTCAAAAACACAATGGCCAATGCTATCTAGTTTAGTCAATATCTAAAAAGAGGATGTTCATGAAACTCAATTCCCCCGTGCCATTGGGGAAAGTGGCAGATTAAAAAAATAACTGAATTGGCCTGAGTCTGTCTGCCTTCAATACAAAAAATACCAACTAAGTCACTTTTGCTGGTTTTTAAATCAGGCCAGACTGATTTATTGGAAAGGTATATTTGAAATCTTTGTGAAGATTATCACCTGAAATTTGGGCAAGAACCTCCTGGACTGTCCCTTCTCTTGTGATAGTCATTGTTATAGAGCAGGGCTCTATAAATTTGGCAATTTTAAGACTTGTAGACTTCAATTCCCAGAATCCCCCAGCCAGGCTATAATTCTTAAAATTGCCAAGTTTGGAGACCCCTGTTGCAGAGGGTAGGAAGAATATGATAGAAATGTCATTGTTTCCAGAGTCCAGTACAGCTCCACCCCGTAATATCCTGGGATCTGGGCATGATCCTGCACCTAAGTCTGATTTAACAGTCACTTGAAATTTCATAGTACTATCAGGGTCCTCAAAGCACTCTGAAGACAAACTTTATTTTTCTACAGTACATCCTTTGAATTGCAGGCTAGAGTAGAACACTTCATATAATGGAAAATTCCCATATCAAAAAAGAGACTGAGCTGGAACTGTCATCCTTGACATGCTCAACTGACACATGAAGGGTTTTATGTTTTTTTCCGTCGAATATGACAAAACAAAACTCATTTCTTTCACAAAAAAACTAATAATGTGCTGACTTCTTCATGGGAGTCATGGACATATTCAATCATTTCAAAGAAATATATCCCTGAGGCATAAAGAACCCTATTATGCAGTAATAAAATTTGTAAGTGAAAAATATAACACCATCATGTTTCTAATGGTTTGAAGTTCATTAGCTTTTATACAAACTGCAAAAAAGGTAAAAAATATATCTGATACAAATCTTACCTCTTAATATTATGCCTCTCTTTCCAAATCACTCTATTTCCATTCAACAACAGTTCCTAACTCCTCCAACTTCCATTATGAATACATTAAAAGGGTGGACTCCGTTGAATCATGCTCGACTCTCAGTGATTTCATGCATATACACCTCTAGTTTTCTTGGTAACCACACAATGTTGGTTTGCCATTTGTTCTTCTGCATTTTTTTTTTTAAATTCCCAGTCTAATTTACAAGTTTGGGAATTCTAAGTACTAACCACAGGAAACCTGCTATAAGGGAACTTGCTGAGGAAGGAGAAAGAAAGAGTATTTCAAAGCATCACGACAAAATATCACTGACAGATATTTCTGTATCAGATCCCCTTGGAAAAGGTGCCCTCAGTCCTTTAGTGGGGAAAAAGAGGTTAAAACAATGCACAGACCCATCTTAATGAACTTGCTCCTAAATGAAGGCAGGGGGACTGCGCACTCAGTTTCCAAGATTCTGGTTCCTAGTACCTTATTTCTTGATATTAAACCTAATTGAACAAACTCTGTGACTCTTGCTTCCCTGACTGCCTTTTGCTGCAAAGAGATTGACACCTCCTTAGTTTCTGAAAATCAGACAAGTGCTGCTACTTAGTTGATCATCAATAAATAAAGATCACATCAGAAGCTGTCCATTCACATTATTCAACCACTTCTCATCTATCAACATGTAGGATTCTGTCCTGCTAATAATAAAAACAAGAAACAGGTTTTTAGCCCCAGTGGCGCACTGGGTGTGTGTACAAAACCTGTTTCTAGTGGTTCTGAGGACACATAAGGGGAGAGGAAAAAAATCAGATAAACGGGGAATTTAATGGAGAACTTTCAAATCAGAAAAAGAAGCAGGTTTGAAGGTAAACAAGTAAAGGTTTTAAGATGAAGCTTAAGAGGAAAAACAGTGCTAGTAAGAAGACGAGATAACAAAGGTAAGATCCGCAAAGGTGAGAGATTTGTTAAACTGGGTCCCAGAATATTTAGTTCCAAAAATATAATCCACAGAACTTTATTCCTTGTGTATTTGGTTCTAGTGACAGCCAAGTTGAGAAGCATTACTCCCAACTGATGTCATTTTGCAGAGCTGGAAGGAGAAAAACTGGCTCTTTGCTTGATCATTCAAAGCTTATTAAATCGACTTCATCGTGCCTGGTGTCCGGCTGGAGCTAATTCAAGCAGTTTCTAAGATCAAGTCTGGCAAGCAAGAGAGATGAGTCACAGGGAAAACTGAGTACAGGTATTTTACAGAAAATTAACAAATGGTGCCAATCCCCATCCTAAATAAATAAGGTTTCCCTCAACCCCCTGATCCAACAGGTTGGGAAGATAAATTTTAGCCATTGTACACACCCTTCAGCAACACTGTATCGGGGGTTCAATATAAAGCAGTGCAAAAGAGTTATCATCAGTGACTATTCTTGTGACTACTGCCATTTGGTTTCTGTTGCAAGCAAGAGCACAGTGCCAGAAGAAAAGAGGCTGTTTATTCATGGGGGAAGTGGTGCTGCTGAGAGTGGGCAGGGGGAGGAAAAAGACAGAAAACATTTCCTTGGATCTCACATAACTTTTGTTTGCCTGTGGCAAAGACAGAGATCTCTTGTCTGCTTTTCTTTTCAATAGCTAGCTTGTCTGTTTCAGAAGATCTGGATGCCAAATAGATTTTTCAAGGCTTCTGTAGGTGGGAAAAGGTGCGCCTAAATGTGCTATGGAAGTGCATTTAGCATTCAAACACAGGAGCCTTGCATGTGCATTTATCAGAGTTTACATGATTACACCGAAGGAGGGATATGTTTATACTGCATATGTACATGCAAATAATGCCTATATGAAGACTGGGCATGAATGTAAACATCTACAAAATGTAAACCAGGCATCCTGAATGTTTCTCCCACTCCCAGCTTATTATTGGAGGAAAACCATTTCTGATTAGAACTGAATCTCTGACATCTGGGAATTGCAGCAAGAGATTAATTGATAATTAAGAAATGCATGACTGTACAATTAGAACCAGAGGTTTTTTTCATTAGGTCTGATGGACAAATGGGGGGGGGGAAGAATTTTGTTCTCAAAAATAGTTAGCAGCGGCAAGGCTTCTTTATGTGCAAAAATGGAAGGACTCACAAATACCAACAATGGAAGAATGGATGGTGAAGTTAATGGCTGCTTTGACTGCAAAATTGACTGCTGTGATTAAAGAAAAGACTATCTGGCTTCATTTCTACTTGGAAACCACTTTTGGACTTTTTACTAAACTGAAATAGATGAAATTTTAACCTTGGGATTTGATGATTAGAATTATTTATGACTACAGAGGTGCTATGTGGCATGGTATACTTTAGTTTAAAGGGTAATTGTAATTTCTAGCTCTTTCTTCTGTGTCACAATAGATATGATGAATTAACTTCCCCATTCATTTATTCTGCTTGTCTCTCTGTATGTAGAGTTTTATCTTGCCCTTTATTTGAAGAACTGTTTTTCAAAAGAAGAGCAAGATTAAACTCTACATAATGAGCAACACAATTGGTGGCCTCAGGTTGAAAGTGGTATGTTAGTTATCTTTAGGGCTTGCTACATTTGCAAGCAAGAATCTGAAAAACTTTATTAAATAGTTGGCTGCTGTATTTAGACTTTATAACAGGGTTGTTGAAATAGTCCCTTTACAATAAAAATACTTTATGCCTCCATTTCCTTTGCCTCCATCAAACTTTAAAATGCCAGAATGAAGCCACCTTCTTGGCTGTTGGCCAAAAAGAATAATCATTATCAGTACACGTTTCCAGGTTGGGCTCTGTGTCTCTCCACATTCACATAGTGGTTGTTATCCACTAAGAGCCTCCACTTGAGCATATTGGTTTTACATTTAGGCATTCCAACTCTCAACCTATTCAGAGTCCTCCAAGTAGTATAAGAGAAGTCAGATCCTTCAGCCATATCCTCCTTTAATGTTATTCCTTGCTCGATGGTCTCCTTCTTCCATCTTTTAATTCGATTTCATTCTTGCGTACCCTCAAAACATTTGTTCTTGCCATAAAGCTGTTCCTAATTTGAGTTGGCAGCCTTGAGGTATATGCCAACTCTGCCATCCATTCTTATAAGTAACTTTGTAAGGGAATACCGTTTGAAGAATGCTATCCGGTTATGAAGCTGTCTTATATTGTACAGGCCTGGCTAATCCTCATGCTTGGGGTAGATGGTGATGAGTTTCTAGGCATAACAGGAGGTGGCAATGAGCATCCAAGTCTAACAGAAAATGTTGCAGAGGTAACTTTGTCAAAGCTCATATATTCTCCCTCATTCTCATACACAGGGGAGCTCCATATCCCTTGCGGATTGGTTCCAGACCTGATCTATCTCATTGTCTATTTGGGAGAAAGGAATCAATTTATTTATCTACTACAGTTTATTTGAAACATAGCAAAGTTGGTCTTTTTTTTTTTTTGCATTAGTTCTGCAGAATATGTGTTTATACACAGGCAGAAAGACTTGCTTCTGTCCCTCTCTTGGATTCAAGCCAGTCATTACTCCCCCAATGTCTCAGAAATGTTCAGCATCCTGTTATAACTTACCTAGTTTTACCTTTATCATCAGGAGCTTACTTTTTCCCATTCCATCATCTATCCAAGCAACATGCAATTATTTTCATAATTACTGGGGAAAGCACTCCATTGCAAAATTGCTGGCATGCTAGCAATTCTCCTTTACAACTTACACAAACACTTAAATGCAACTGACAATGGCAGCAAAATAACTGGAGAGTCTTTGGAGGATGATAATGTTTTTTGTTTATGCTTTTATAATCAATCTTCTCTATTACAACAGGTTTTGTTTGCAAACTACCAGACAAATTTATATTTATGTGAAAAACATGGAGGAAGGACAGATTAGACATTTGTTTTATTTCTTTTGAGTCCAGATGGATTGTTGTTATTCTACAACAAGAGAAAGAGGGAGAGGGGGCATTGACTGGATGATGTTGCTTCTTCTAATGGTTCCATTCTTCATAACTCAGCTGAATGGAAAGGAGGTGTGCATTGGTGGCTGAAGATGTTTTTTGCAGGCTCTCAGTGTTTTAAGATTAATGTAAGCGACTGCAGCTTGATCAATTTTTACACTTGAAAGGCATCTAATGAATCCCAGTGAAAAGAATAATCCTTTTCAAATTCAACTCAACAATTGTGTCCTCCCAATGCAACCACACATGGAAAATATTTGATTCATGCTTTTGAAGTCTCTTCCAAATCTTGACACAGTTTGAAAATCTCCACTGAAGGAGAACCTAATGGGACAGCTTTTTCCACTAGTTGACAGTTTTTGTAACTTCCAGTCATTAACTCCTCCTGGTGACTGCCTGGATTAGTCTCTGCAGTTTTCTTGGCATTTTTTTTTTTGGGGGGGGGAGAGAGAAGTGGTTTGCCCTTGCCAGTTTCTCAGGGTTGAGAGAGGGGGACTGGCCCAAGATCACCGAGCTGGCTTCATGTCTAAGATGGGACTAGAACTCACACTCTTCCCGTTTCTAGCCTGGTGCCTTAAACACTACATCACATTTGTGTTATTATTCAAGTGTTCGTAAACATGCTGTTTAATAATCTGTTTGAGGCTCTTTAATAGTTTATTAAATGTATATGCTGCCCATCTCTCCAATAGGGCAATTCTTGTCCAGTATAGATGCCAAACTGACAGGTCTGTAACTTCCTCATTTCTCTGCCTTTCTTTTTTTTATATTGAAAATTGGGATGGCGTTTTCTCTCTTTTAATCTTCTGAGATATTGCCAATTCTCCAAGATCTCTCAAAGATTATATGGCTCTGCTAGTTACTTTGGTACTCTAAGGTGTAATTCATCTGACCCTGGAGCCCTCATTTAAATTAGCAAAGTTGCCCTTACCTGATCTATCTTGAACTCCAGTTCCCTCTTCTAATGGTGGTACAGTGATGGCCAGCTAGGGCTTTTAGTTTCCTTTCTGAGAGAAGAAAAACAAATTATGAGTCAACACATTCTGCCTTTTCCTTATCATCTGTTGAACAATTCACCCTTTCTCTTTGCAAAAGACTTACATTCCCTTGCTTTCCCCTTTGTTTCTGGCACACCTGAAAAAGTCTTTTTTTCCCCCTTGCTTTGGGCATTTCTTAGAAGCCTCAGTACTTAATCTTTATTTTTTTTTCTTTACCAGTGACATCTTCTATGTACCCCTTTGTTTACTTTCAGGATCCCTTTCTCTTTTCTTGCAAGATAAGCCCTCAGCTAGGACTGGTGAAGTACTCTCATTTCCTTCACTTTCTTCCCGAGTCCTCATAGTTTCTTCCAGTATCATTTGTCCCACCTGAATCAGGAGGAAGGGACAGTTATTGGAAGGTCTGAAGAGTCTTGGCAGTCTATCCTGCATATGAGGTCTTGGAAGATAACCCACTTCTCTCTTGATGTCATATTGAGTCTATACACTGAAAGCACTGTTCCTCCTCCACAACCAGCTACCTCTTCCTCAAAAGGGTTATTGGGTTTCTTTGGTTCGTGGATACTTCAGTATCTTCCATTCCATTCCATGAAGTTGATGTTCACAAGGCTTGCTCAGACGGCTTAAAATTATCTTCTACAAAGAGAGTTTGAATTCCACAAGCAGCGTTTGATCCACTTGCTTCCACTCATCTTTCTCTTTGTATTATCTGGCCCTCACTTCTCTGTCCCTCCTGAGGAGCTTCAGTTATCCTGTTCAGGAACATCTTACCTTCCCTGATGTTTTACAGTGTAGTAACATTCTCCTTGAGCCCTTTTTAATTCCACTCCTTTCTCCTTCTCTTCCTGAAAGACAATCCAAGTAAGATAAGCATGGTACATCCACTGTAGATGATGAGATGACTTTCCTCCCATTCCTGTGTTCTCAGTTTTATGAACAAAAGATTTCAAACTCTTGTTGGCTCTCCCTGTTCATTCACTCATGCCGTTTAGCCTTTTATACCGACAGCATTAATTTGTCATAAAAATCTACAAGAATATTTTTGCTTGGTAGAAAGTCTGAAGATATCAATAAGCTTGGTCTTAAAGGCTGATGACTGTGCTCCTCCACCAACTAGGGATGGGAAGAACCACAGATTGCCTTAGGTATTTAAATTAATGTTACTGTTTTTATCAAGCACTAACCAAAGGAGCAGAATCTAAGAGCCACATAGAGCAGACATGTCAAACTCGCGACATCACGTGACGCCGTGCAACTTATCAGAGCTTTTCCCCCCATTGCTGGCAATGGGGTGGGCGCGGTTTCTCGGTGATGCGTCCGGCCTGTGGGCTGGCAGTTTCACACCCCTGCCATAGAGCCACTTGATCCACTGCTTCAAATCAAGAACTGCCACCAAACAGCCTGAATCAAAGTAATGTCCTAAAGACCTAAACCAGTGGTGGTGAACCTATGGCACACGTGCCAGAGGCAGCACTCGGAGCCCTCTCTGTAGGCACATGCACCATTGCCCCAGCCCCATTTCCTCCCACGGCCCCCTCTTCACCAGCAGCCCCCCCTAGAGGAGAGTCGTCCCCGGGCACAGCCCATGCGAAGCAGCGCAGCCGAGGACATGGTAGCTGGGCAGCGGGGACAAGACTCCACCCTTGCACCCTGTCGCGCGCAGATGATGCTGCGGGGCATGGGGTGCAGGGCGTGGCCGCCATGGCTCTGCTGGGCTGCCTGGGTGATCTGTGACGGGTCATGGAGTTGGTGGGTGCCCAGCGGGCAGGGCGGAGCAGGGACAGGGATGGGGAGGCGGGTTTTGGGCACTCGGTCTCTAAAATGTTCACCATCACTGACCTAAACAATACTATTAACATCTTCCTTTCTTACTCAGAAGATGTGAAAACACCGAATGTCTTCAATTTGAAAGGAAATTCAGAGGGACCATCTGTCCAGAAATAAGCAACTGAAGAAAAACCCTTTAAATGTCTTGTTGCAAAGTACCCCTTATGTTTGCCCAAAATTTTTTATTATACAATCATGAGGAATTACTTGCCACCAAAATGGGCACTTTGCAATGCTGTTTACATTTGCAACTTTTAAAAATTGCTCTAATATTGAAATTTTTGTAAAATAGGATAAGGGTACAGATTACAATCACAGGAAAGGGGGTTTAAAATTAAACCCTCCTGGGTTTAATTTAATGCACTCTTGTGTGCAAAGTGGACACAGCCTCAGTAGCACTCCTCAACTCCATGTGCATTATTGCAGCTCCTCATCCTCATGTTACCATGGTTCTTCCCAAGGTATCCAAACACCTGGTCACAACATCAGCCAAGCACAGATGCCAAGACAACTATCCTTTACATTCCTAATGCCAGTTCCCTCAAAGCTTGTGCCAAATCCAATCTTGAAAGTCTTTCCCCATAATTTTGAATGGTTTCTCACATGGCACCCACTGTGACATTATTCTTTTTACAGAACTCGCATCCTTCACATACACCCCACTCAGTGTTTTTCAAGAAACAAGTAGATAAAAGTATTGTGCCCATAATGCCTTTTCTAATCCTTTAGATTAAGTATATCTTATTGCAATCTTCACTTTTTACACATACAGGGAGAGACATGAATCAATCCATTCTGCCCACTTATGATGGGTGAATGGAAATGCCTACTGAAGGCCCCCTCCTCTCATGAGGTACAATGTGAAGGGAGGCAGAGGCCTGTGTTCTCTGTGCCCTACTCTCTTCCTTCAAGGCAGCTAACCCCTGAGGGAAAATATCCCCCTCTTACAGCTTTCTAGATTTATGAGCCTGGATTTTCTGGAAGGCCTTTGGTGATTAAGCGGCTAGAAGAAAATCTGTGCCATTATTTTCTGTTTGTGCTTAAAATTGTGTTTTTATTGTATTTAACACTGAGTTTGATTTTGAGCCTCTGGCATGAGGGGGTTGATAAATCTCATAAACAAATCTGTTCCAAAGATGAACTATCACATTAAGCCATCATGTGATTAATTGGTTTTAGTTTAGCATGACTTATGAATCCAAAAAAATGTGGCTTATAAACTAGCCTTCAGTGCCTAGCATTATGAACTAATCACTGTCACCTATTCAAGAATTTTGTCCAAGTGCTGCATAGGAACCCAATCTGCAGCTTTCCTGGAGAATATTCTGGAAGAGGGGGACAGAAAACGTGTTAAAACATTCATGTTTGCCATTGCTCTTCTCAAGCGCCCCTTTGATTCACGCTTGGAGAATCCACAATAGAGAAATGCTATTATGGGGAAACAGAATTTAGGTAGCTGAAATTGAATTTATGTATATTTACAGTATATTCTGAAGTTGATGCTACTTTATTTCACCTAGTACAGGTAGTCCTAGACTTATGACCACAATTGAGCCCAAAATTCCTGTTGTTAAGTGAGACATTTGTTAACTGAATTTTGCCCCATTTTATGACCTCTTGCCACACTTGTTAAGTGAATCAGTGCAGTTGTTAAATTAGTAACATGGTTGTTAAGTGAATCTGGCTTCTCCATTGACTTTGCTTACCAGAAGGTCGTAAAAGGTGATCACATGGCCCCAGGATACTGCAACTTTCATAAATATGAATTGGTTGCCCAGAATCTGAATTTCAATCACATGACCATGGGGAATGCTGCAATAGTTGTAAGTATGAAAACTGGTCATAAGTCACTTTTTTTCAGTGCCATTGTATCATTGAATGGTCACTAAATGAACTGTTGTAAGTTGAGGACTACCTGTAAACTCTGCTGCAATTAGCTTGTCCAGAAAAACAAAAAACCCAAATAGCTATGCTGAAGCCTGATGGCTACATTCAGAATCCCAATAATGCATTGGTGAATTAACATCCTATGGCTTAAAGTTAGGCAAAAACAGCTATGCGGCTATTGATGTTCTTTCTTATATAGTATATGCCCAACATTGCTGGCTAGAATCATTAGCTGGAATTATAGCTATACCCTAGTCATCCCCAGTTCTGTTTTATGACTAAAAGTCTAACATTTGAATTCTTCCAACATGTTTTTATCTAAGGAACAGTAATAAATCTCAATCTGTATTTTATTAATCATTGAAAGGAATCTAGGGAGCTATGTAAAATCCAAAGGTAGTTTGTACCTGCTAGAGAAAATCTAGCTTCCTTCTGATCACCATCGTGTTTCATACAAATATATGGCAGGGACAGCAGCAATATTGTAAGGCTTAAAGGTGGCACTGAGGACACTTAGATTAAAACCACACAGATAAAAGCATTAGATGCAGGACATCCATTGAGAAGCCGAGCTTCCTAAGAGAGGAATGCTGAAAAGGTCAATAAACAACATTAGCCACCTAACGCAGGGCAAAAGATGGGGAGGGAAAGACACCAAAATTAAACCCAGGAGGATGTAAAATGGGTGCAGCAGCCTTAAATTAAACCCAGGAGGATGTAAAATGGGTGCAGCAATCAACTATCTTCCGTTCTGATGATACAATAAAGGTTTGTTACTAGTTGCACACTGTTGGGTATCTGAGGAGCCTCACTGGCACTGGAACCAACCAAAGGGAGTCCAACTTTAAAGTGGCCTTCACCAACTTGGCATCCTCAACATTAGGTGTCACCAGAATGTTCAGCCAGCAAGTACAATGTATTGGAAGGGTATCAGGCTGACAAAAATCATATCAGGCACCCCAAAACAAATCTATTGACTAAATTAGATATGTAGCGTTAAATTAAATACAGAACTCAAAAAATTACTTAAAATGTAGGTTAGTGGATATTATATTTTGGATTAACTAGGTACTTCTAAAGCATGCTGATAGGAAATAATTTCAATATACTAGAAAAGGGGTCTCCAAACTTGGCAACTGGCTGAGGAATTCTGGGAGTTGAATTCCACAAGTCTAAAGTTGCCAAGTTTGGAGACCCCTGTACTAGAAAAACACCAAGTTGGAAGGCCTTATTGAAGCAATAAAGAAATCTGGTTACATCAGTCCCGGACTCCAATAAGTACTGGGTACAACTCA